GTATATATATATATATATATATATATATATATATATATATAAAAGATTATATATATTTATATATAAATATTATTATAAAAGGTGACGTCACGTCGCCTTGGCGATGCCACTGAAAAAGGCGATGCGACGTCGCCTTTTACATATATATATATATATATTTCGTTCCATCCGGTAACGGGTGGTTTGTGTATCGGTCAGCTGATGGACTGGTACGTACCGCCCATACTGGACGGTATTATTCGAAATTGCATACCTTGAATATGATAATACCAATTTTAGATCTTGCTCCTACCACCAAGATGGTTCAGGGTCCTCAATGTGACTCTACTTTAGATTAATGCAGTATTCGTGTAGGGTTCACGTGTGAAACTATTCTCATGGCCATGGTCTGCAGTACCGAACTGTACCGCTCGGTACGGGCGGTACGTACCGGTCCGACAGGTTGCCGGTACGCGGACCGCCTGTTACCGGTCCGAGTGCACTGTAGCACTGTAGCAGAGCTACAGTACTCGGCACACCTAAGTATACCGCTCGGTATACCGTACCGTACCGGTACCGAACCCAGGTCAAAACACCGGTATGGTACAGTATTGTGAACCTTGCTCATGACATCTAATAATTGTGTCTTTAAGGACATGCTTTTTTGCCATTTCTTCGATCATTTTGTGTTGACTTTGAAGCCTTCAACTTAGATTAACTTACCTTGTTAATGTACCAAAAAGTTTTGATTGATCTATGGCATGCAATCTACCTTAGAAAATTCTTAATTATATCTAACTAGTGCTACACTAATTTACAAGACACCAATTTTGTATCTCAAAATCTGTGGAAGTGTTTTTCTTTCACTTGTAAACTTTTTTGATTTGCCTTGTTTGTTACGAGGTTTTAAAAACTGTGTACTCTATATATACTAGCCACCAAGGTTCACCGTACCGTTCAATATACGTGGTATGTACCGGTCCGATAGGGGACTGATACAAGCGGTACATCAATATGTCTCCATATATCGTATGTCGGTATGCTCGGTACAGCTTGGTATAGCTCGATACACACCATACCGACAACTAGTCGGTACACTGGTACGGACTGGTAAGGGGAACCATGTTTGCCACAACCAGATAACAATACATTCAACAAGCAAGGAATGAAATTTCATGTACTAGACCCGGATCTGGTTAATGCTGATCTACCAGCACATGGTACACCGGCATGTACCATGATACTATTTTTATAAGGGAAGGGGGAGGGAGATGGAGGAAGGATAAAAAAGGGTGAAGGAAGAAGTATTTAAGAGAAATACTAGGGATGAGGTGAAGGCCATCGCCGAGTGGGGGGTAGAAGAGGATGAGGATGAGAAGGAGAATAAGAGGAGACAGAAATACTTGAGATGAGGCTCAGGGAGGAGGCAAAATGGAAGAGAAGGAGAAGAGGAGAAAGAGAAATACTAGAGATGTGGCGGAGGTTGTCGGTTGCTGGTGGGTGACAAGCAGTGAGCAACAACCATGTGACAACAAGAGGGAGAACGTGTAGTGACAATCGTGCAGCATTGCGAAGTGGGAGAAAGGGAAAAGCATCCAAATCAATCCTTTTAAAATAAAAAATCAAGCCCTAAATATTTGTCTCAGGCCCTTTTATAAGAGAAAACCCACACATACATCTGCAAAAAGAAAAATCGAACGGCCCAAAATAGAGCAATCTGCATCTTGATTCACACCCAGACTAGTAAATACCAAATGTTAACTGGCCGAAAGTGAAATCCACGGCCACAATCCTAAAAATTATAATGAGCAACTCAATTTTTTTATTTCATTAGAAATCTAAAAGTTCAAGGAAGACAAAGAACCATATAATAGTGTTTTGTTTAATTGATTAATTGGTTTTTCACTTTCATTACATGTTTTGTTGAGTGACCTGTCAGTTATGTCGGGCATCTTAATCCTGATCCTGCTGTCTTCCTCTTTCAGAATCAAGGATTCGGTAGATATTATTGTTTGGCAACAAGTCTAAGTCCAAGCAGATTTTACCATCATTTGCAGCTATTTCAGCTCTCTGGTATCACCAAAAAGCATACATAACCATCAACAATAAAGAAGAAAACAATAATTCTGCTTCTATTCTATGTCACATTTCACTGTAATTAGAAATTCTTATTATTGAAAAATCATAACTAATTTTTTTCTATCTAGTTCCAATAGTATTTTCTTGTGTACATTTTTTAGATACTCATTGGCATACATGATAATGAATATTGAAAAAGATAGCATATTGCTTTCTTCTGCAATTATGTGTCATGCTTCATTATAATAATTTCTAAACTAGCGAATTTGTGAGAACAGTAACTTAAACTTTAATGAATTATTATCTACTATGATTGCGTTCTGCTGTGTTAAATCGTTAAAAAAAATACAGAATCTTCATTTTCTAATGATATCTTTTTCACAAGTATGTACATAGAGATGTTAGTGTATTCTTAAGATAATAATATATGATATCTTTTGTTTCTTTGACACAATTATGACCATGATTCTTTCAACTTATTTTGGTCCCTTATATAAGTTGAATGTTATTTAATTATGGAAAACAAAGAAAACTTTCTTTTATCTATTCCACTGATATCCAAGTACCAAAATGTCAATGCAGAAATGTAATGCTTCGAGTGGATGCCAAGCAAGGTGCTCCAAAGGATGGAAATTCACCTCTTGAACTTTTCCAGGTTACACTTGTATAGTTTGTAGATGCTTAAGCATATTTGACCTTATTGCCAATAGAGGAATTATGTATGATGCAGAAGATGCACATCCCATTCCTGTATATCACTTTCATGCCCTTCTTGACTTGTTTAGGTTAATGCACCATTTCATCTCTTCCTTTCAGCCGAGCACTCACATACTTCATTACAAGCACGTCCATTGTTTTGGCCACCACCATTTATCTTTCCTCTCTTCATTCTCATCCACTACAATTGCTTCTCGCAATTTTGTCAGACATCACTACCATCATTTTCGTTCCATCCCTCACATTGTTTCCAAAAGTGGTCAAAATTAGGTCTATCTATAGTATTAACTAGCTCATATCAACATACATGTTTTGGCATTCAGGCCAAAACTTAAATTCTTGGTCTCAACTATTTGGTTTCAACTATAGAGCATCTTTAAAATTCTGTCTCAACTATTTGGTTTCAGCTATAGAGGATCTTTTCACATTTGAGCCCTACTGAGGGTAAAATTACACTTCAAAGTAGGATCAATATTTCTTTAACGTCATTCTATACCTTTCCTTGCACCACCATTCCTTTGAACATACTTTCACCACCTTCAACAAGTTCTCATTTTATCTTCAAGATAAAGTTTTCCCTAGGTGTTCTAGAATGTAAATGCTTTATGTTTTATAAGTTATATACCGGCAAACATTAATCCTAACATTTTCATTAGAGTGACACTGATATTTTTTATATCTGTTGTTTTGCAATTGCCCAAAATTCATCCCATCAAATATAGCTAGTTCTTTAATTGTTTTATTAATTTTTGTGTGACCATTGGCATTATATTATGAATCCATATGCTGGTTCTGTTCTTAAAGGATTAGCTGAGTAAATTAATTTTTCTTTTCTATTGTTTTGCGCCAATAGGTTCTTGACTAGAATTTTACAATTATGTTAATGAAATAGCATAAGAAGCTTGTAAGAAGTCCTAATAATATTTATTAGCATATTTTTATCAAAATTTTCAATATTTTTTTGTTACAGATCTTCTTTAAATATGCCATTTTGTCAAACAAATGTAGTCGTTGGTTAATCAGATATAAACAATTGAATTTGTAGAATTCATATAAATATGTTAAAAGGTTTTTCCATTTCTCATAACTAGTGTCATTTGCAACCACAGATTTTGCATTTACAAATGGAAAATAATTCTTTGGTTTGCCTGCATTGATAATTGCACTTTTCAATTATGTTTGGTTGACTGTCATTGGTATTCGTAGATGACAGGTGGATGTTAGAAAAGAATATCTTCATCTGCATAGGTATCCCTCTTCAGAGTTCAAACCATTTTGCAATTCAAGGTTGCTCATTTGTGATCTACAAGAATCTAGGCTTCAATTTTGAACATCTAGCCCTAGTCTATGATACATATTGAAAAATAATCATAAACCTTAACCTGATTGCATGAAACCATCTTAGAGTTTGGCTTGGATTTATATTGATTTGAAGAGAATTTTATCAAATTCTTGAGATTCAATCTTCTTCTAGTGCAAATCAACCACCCCAAATGATCTTCCAATAGTTTGTAAGGGAGTTGAGAGAAAATTAGATGATTTTTCAGAGAAATTTCAAAGAGAATGAGAGTGAGAGAGGCAGTGAGACTGTGAGGAGAAGAAAGGGACTTGTGGGGGCTGCTGATAGCCACCCAACAAGCCTTAATGACTAGTTCGTAGTCTCATCAAGGTTGGTATGCTTGCTGCTTGGCATAGGCCCTTACCAGGTATATATACCAAGCAGGAAGCCCAGTACAAGGCCCATACAGGGTAGTACTCGTAGTACCAGACTTGAACATATTGGTAGACTATCGAATCAATAAATATTACCCGAATCAAACTGTATCTGGCGGTATTAAAACCCATGATCTAAGCATTGATAAAAGAAAAAACTTCAACTCCATTCTTCTGACATAAAACAAGTACACATGCTTTTAGTTTATAATATAACCTGTACCAGGTGGCTGACCAGAGTCTGGTACATGAAGTGCTTGATTTTGACTAAGGAATGTATCTGGTTGCAGTTGAAACCAGTTGAAATTCTAGAATTAGCCTAGTTTGGTCGAACTCTACTGGTTTCAACCAAAACTGGTTGAAATACATTTTAAAGTATAATGCCTTGATGCATTATAAAACCTTTCTCTGCTAATATCTTGCCTACTGTCTGCTCCTACAGTCATGCATCATTGTGGGTGCAATGAGTCTGATTTGGGCCTCAAACTTAAATTCAGTTATGGCACATGCCAACCAGTTGTTGTCTCAAAGATTAATCCATATATTTTCTTTCCACAATATTCAATGCTTTGAATGCATGAGTTGGGAAGAAAATGGAGAGGAGAAAACATACAAATTGTGGAAAGCAAAGGCCAGATGATTGCTAAAACCAAGCAGGTGAATAACTTATTAAAAGGACAATACTGGAATAATGGAAAACTGAGATACTAGTATAGCCTTTTAGCTGAAATTGATTGCTGGATAATATTGTTGAACACAGTGATTTCAATAGGCGCTCGGGCGAGGCGAGGCGAGGCCCGAGTGCCTCGCTTCAACGAGGCGCCGCCTAGGCGCTCGCCCGAGCCCAGACGCCGGGTGCTTCGGGCGAGCGCCCGGGTTAAACCAGGCGACCGAACCAGTGTTTTACGTCTAGTTCGGTTTTCGGTGCTTTAGTTGGTTCAATCGAACCAACGAAATCACCGATAGGCTCCCTCTCACGATTTCCCCAACTTCCCCAACCCTAACACTCGCGATTTTGTCGTCGATATTTCTTCTCCATTGTCGTTGCTCTCTGCTGCCGCTGCCGCTGCCATTGTCGCTACTCGCCGCTGCCACAATCGTCGCTCGTAGCTCCCGCTCCCACTCCCACTCCCGCTGCCGCTCGCAGCTCCCGCTCCCACTCCTACTCCCACTCCCGCTCCCGCTATCGCTCGCCGCTCCCGCTCCCACTACCGCTGTCGTTGCCTTAGCAGCCTCGGTCTTCTCACACTCTTCTCACTATACTGTTAACAGTATATTAATAGTCTACTGCTAACTGTATACTAATAATAGTATTTTTATTTTTTAGATTAATAATATATTATTTTGATTTTAATACTATTAATTTTTATTTATTTAAAATTATTGTTAGGTTTCAGAATAAATGACAAGTGTACAGAGCAACTCAATAGATTTGATGTAAAATTTTATTGTTTTGATTTTTGAGACTTTTTATTAATATGACATTGTGATTTTGTACTCGATTTTCTTAATTTAATAGTATATTTTTTATTTAAATAATTATATTAATTATATTATATATTTTTATATTTTATCGTCTTGCTTCGTTCGGGCGAGCGCCTAGCGTCTCGGGCGTTTTTGGACCTTGGCGCCTAGCGCTTTTTAAATCATTGGTTGAATAGCAGCAAACATTTCACTCCCTTATTTGATATCTTTCTTCCTCCTTAATTTAGTATCAGCCTTAATCAAGTGATACAATACCATCCCATCAATGATAAAAATGGAGCATAAGTAGGTATCCTATCCAAGTGGAGGATGTTGAAAGCCTTTCCTCTTCATTTTTGTAGGACTGAGCATTGTAGAAAAACTGTGTTTTGTAATGAGGTGATTGGGCTAAACTGATACCGGGAAGGGTAAAAAATGCAGAATGGATTTCGAAAGAACACCGATATAACAGTTGTTCAGATAGAAAATGTCACAAAAGGCAAGGAACGCACTTTTGAAGAAACTTCGATAAAACGATATATAGCTCACCACCAAATTTAAAAATCAAAAGGGATACAGAAGATCACCACCCTAATGATAATAAACAAGGATACAGAACTGAAAGCGAAAGACTCATCACTCAAGGACGCATTCAAGAGATACA